GTTGGGGCCTTTTGTTTTAACTCTAATCGGCTTAGGGTTTGCTTTCTTCTTTCCCCCAAACCCTAAGTGAGGCGCGCGAATAGCTGTAATCGGATCGAGATTTTGTAGGAGGTATGGGTCTTCGCGGAAGAGGCTATGGCGGACGCAGAAGTAGAGGTCGGTGTTCTGAGCCCTAAATCCAACTATCGTCCTATTGTTTTCTGGATTATGGATCTTTGATTTTTTGTATGTCTGTGCGCAGGGGGAGGGTTTGGTTCATCATCCTCTAGTAGTGGTACGTTCTGGCTTAAACCTATTAGGGGTAGTGCATCTGCAATCCTACTTCTATTTCGGGATTTCAAATTACTAATTCTGACACTGTATTTATCTGTATGGTTGTCTATGCTCGTTTCGTCTGGCAGCTGAATATCGAAAGAAATGTGCAGCTTCCTATGCACCCAAAACTTCTTCTTCTAAGAGTTGGTTTCAAGATATGGAAGATGAAGCCGATTGTTACATTTTGTACCACATTCGTATGAGGGTAAAATTTGTATTATATGAACTCGATTTCAATAATCTTGTTCATCCAATTGACTTGATTATAATTTTAGGCTTGAATTGCTATACTTTTCTACCTGTTTGTATAATTGATCATGGTTTCTGTATTTAACATTTTGATTTAAGCACCTTTATATGTAAGGTTTCCTCTTACTTTGTAATCATGATATGCATATCTATGTGCTTTTTCTTGTTAGTTTTTCGGGGTCTAGTATTTGTACGTAGTCCTGTTTCATCTAGGTTGGAGCAACTTTTGTGGCTTCTGTTTTCTGCCTCAGAACAACTGAACTGAACTAAGATTTGAATGCAGAATTTGAAAACTCGGGGAGAAGAACATCCATCTCGTGCTAAGGTTATGCAAGAGCTTGAAGACTTGTGTGGTATGGTGTTTTATTGACCATTGTTTTGCTATCTTTACTGGTTTCCTCTTAAATATTTTATAATTCAACTTGTGAATAATAGTAGACTGAATAACGCATCTGTAGCTAGTTTCCTTTAGTTGTAACTACTAATGTGAAAATTGTAGTGATGATGCATTCCCTTTAATTTTTGTGCACTTGCTTGACAGGTGGATATAAGTCTCTTTGGGGTAAATGGTGGACAGAGAAGCATGACAAGGAACTGTGTAAAGAGTGGACAATAACTTATCAGAATGTAAGTTCTTTTAACCAAAACTTTGGACTATAGGCTTGTAAACAACTAGAACTCATGCAGATTTTTGTTAGTTAATCAACTTAGGTTATGTAGGCAGTTGCAATTTCTTTGTTTTATTGGATATAAGGATAAACTAAAACTATTGTGGATTGTTGAACTCTCTAAGTTAAACTAGATTAAGACCACTTTTAATCTCACCTGTCGCCTTTTTGTTCTTCACCTCCTTTCACCAAGGTTGTGGTTCTGGCAAAAGGGTTTAGTTTGGTTTGTGCAAATGTTGAACTACTTAATAATTTAAACCTTCCCCCCTCTCTCTATCTTTCCATAAATGATTTTTTTGTCTAAGAATTCATTCTTGTCCATCCCTTGGAACTTAAAGCTTGCTGTATCTTCTCACTTTTTTTTGATTGGGTTAAAATGCAGAGGATGACTCAGTTTGGTCCAGAGTACTGCAGGAGACTTGGAATGAAGGAAATTGTTGAAAATGTATGCAAGGGTGTACCGTCATCAAGGTCGACGAGGCATTTGATTGATGAGGTTTTAGAGTATTGTATTTAGTATCTTAGGTAATATTATGGTACTTATATGGGCATTTGATTGATAAGGTTCTTGAGGATTGTATTTAGTATTTTAGGTAATATTAGTAAAAATTTTACATATAATGGTGTTTATATATTATGTGAAATCAGACAGCTTGTATATATGTAACTGATTTTTTTTTAAAAAAAAAAAATTTATGTGTGTTTTGTAACTGTTTTTTAATTAGAAATTTTAATTCTAATAATAATAGTAATAATGACTCCACCATTAGGGTTTCAAATTTAGTTTTTAACAAAACAATAAAGATTTATGAATGCTTTATCCTGAGCTCGAATTTATAACTGCAAAAGCTAGCAATTTTTGTCGCTACCGAAAATATCAGAGCCTCTCCATGAATAAGGGACGAACCCTAAAATTAAAAAATATATATCAATTATTTTCCTTTTTAATCTATAAAAATAAAGTGACAATCAATAAACGAAAATTGAACTTTTTCAAGAAAAAAAAAAGAGATTAGGGTTACGTGTCAGCCCCATATTCCATCCCATCCACTGTATATACAGCCAAAACATCCGAAAAGTCTGTTGAAATTCTTTCCTCCCTTTTGCCCACTGTCTTGTTTTCTCCGGTGAAAGCTTTGCCCATTTTCTCAGAACCCTTTTTCTCCTCATCTCCCCTTTGTTTTCTTGATCTTCCTTTGTTTTCAATTCTCTCCAGTGAGAAGATGAGGTATTTCAGTGGTCCCATTTACAAACTGCTGAAAACCTTAGAGACAAGGTCGATTCACTTTCGTCCAGGTAACACTTGGTCCGTGCTTGAGAAGAGAATCAAGCACGGACGCAGTATCCCACCCAAACCCGCCTACAGTCCCTCCTCTTGTAGTCTTCCTCTGTTCTTCAGCTGCTAGAAAGCATTTCTTTGCCAGCTGCTTGTCCAGAGGATTCACCTTCAAAACAGCCTTACCGCTCTCAACCTTCTGACAAGTGCAAATAGAAGAGATCTTTAGACTTCATGTTTAGAGACAAGGTCGAAACATGAAGAGATTCTAAAGATCTCTTCTATTTGCACTTGTCAGAAGGTTGAGAGCGGTAAGGCTGTTTTGAAGGTGAATCCTCTGGACGAGCAGCTGGCAAAGAAATGCTTTCTAGCAGCTGAAGAACAGAGGAAGACTACAAGAGGAGGGACTGTAGGCGGGTTTGGGTGGGATACTGCGTCCGTGCTTGATTCTCTTCTCAAGCACGGACCAAGTGTTACCTGGATGAAAGTGAAGGAAAACTTCCGCTTGGTTGATCTTGATAAAGACGAAACGAAAGATAAAATAAAGAAATTCGTGGGTGCTAGTGGCAATCTAGCAAAAAGCTCCGATCTTGAGAAGCTTGAGGTGAAGATTGGGAATATTGAAACACAGGTGTCGGAGATCCTGAAAGTTTTGAAGAAAAATGGAAAGCCAGGTGCTGATGGAGAGAAGCGAGGCGGGGAAGTATCTGTCTCCGAATCGGAATCTGATGATTAGTTTATTTTTTATGTCTTTGTTTAGGATTTTTTGTGTTTAAAATCTGCTAGTGTTAGTAATATTTTAAAGGTGTTGTTTAAGTTTTTGGACGAGTAGATCACATGATATTTACTTTGACTAATATATATTTTGGGTTTTTTTGTTATGATTTGCTGTCTCATCCATCTATTCTAATTTTTTCTGAATTTTCGTTTTTGTGAGTTGGGGGCCGGTAAATTTCTAAATATACTCAGAATAATCTGGACGTTTTAGCTATAGAGCACTGGCTCTAAGAATTCAGCCTCCGCCAGAGATGGTTTTAGGATTACCGTTAGTTTGACGGAATTTAGTTTAAAAAAAAATATTTTATGAGATAAGTTATATATTTGAAGTGTAATTTGTTTTATAAATTTATTAAAATATTGTTAATATAATTATTTTTTTATATTATTTTATTAAAATATTTTAAAACAATATACAATCCATTTTATAAAACATAAATTCCACTAATTAAACTGTAGAACAACCCTAAAATTAAACAAGACGAAAAAGAACAATTGTTTTACGGAATAGTAACCTAACAACAAATGTTAGAAAAACCAACAAATCATTTCCAAAAGAATGGCTTTCTGGCTTCGCTTTCGCTGGCTAATGGAAGGTCACGCGCTTCAGGTTGTTGCTACTTGCGAGGCTGAGGCCTGAGGGTCCCACTCTACCTACATTAAAAGACAAGACGTTCTTTGTTCTTCGTTTCTCCAAGGTATAAGACCAGCCAAGGAAGAAAATATATATATTCAAATACGGGTCAATGTAATTTCCATAAAAAAAAAAAATTGGGTCAATGTGTCGTCGATGGGCCAACGGTGAGATGTTTTGCAGAATTAAGGTTCATCTCTGTCTCAACGCGACACAAGCTGTAGAGAGGGAAAAATGGAGAGAGAAGAAAAGAGAGTGAAAAAAAGGTGGACGCATGTAGGGTGACTTGTGTGTTTTTTGCAGACTAAATAGGGTTAAATTTGTCGAAAGGAAAAAATAAAGAATCTGCAATGAAAAACTATGAAAATCTTAATGCAAAATTGGATAATTAACGGGGGATTAACTTTTGTCTTTAAATGACATTTAGAAACGTTTTTTAAAAAATGAATTTTTTTAATGGTTATATGTTAAGAATTTAATTAATATGAGTACTTTTTAATTATTAAGTTGTATAAAATTTTAAAAAGTGAATATTAATTTAATATTAATGTTATGTGTATTAATTTAATTAATTAATTATTCAAATTAAAATCAAATTTTTTATGTAATTTAATAATTAAAAGATATATTAACTAAATTTTTAATTTATATACTAAAAACACATATTAAAAAAATAAAAAAAAAGTTATACTTATTTAATTTTTTAAATGGATACACTTATTTAATTCATCTTTTATTTTATTCATATTCTTAATCATTGCATCCCCACTTATTTGTACATAATTTCAACTTCAATGACATCTCAAATTGTGATTGACTTTGACGGGTCATAAAACAAATGTTAGTTAATAACTTAGTCAAGGTTGAAT